GGGGGACGTGGGGGACATGCCGATGTGCATGGTGGGGGACGTGGCCTACCCTCTCTTGCCCTGACCCAGGAAACCCTACACCAGCCAGCCTGACCACCAGCTCAGTGATGGAGAGCGCCTTTGGGTCTGAAGATGCGGTTCCGATGCCCCATCACCCGGCTGGACATTGGCGAACGCAACATCCCCCACATGGTGGCCATATGATGTGTGCGCACACTATTTATGAGAGGAAGAGTGGCAGGTGGGGGGGCAGAGGCTGACCGGATTGGCAGGGCCTTTGCACAGCTGCCATCTGGCAGGCCCATCAAGGGGTCAAGCATCTCCAGGAGGCCCTGAGGGAGAGTTTCTCACAAGGACCCCAGTGACACTCCCCTGGGCCTCCCCACTAGGGGCCTGTGCATCGCCCCTCTTTGCCTTTCCTCCCACACCCCTCCCTCCCGCCTTTGCCCTTCCCCTGCGGGGACAATAAAACAGACCATTTGTTTTGGAAAAAATAAATTCTGATTTTTTATTTGGGGTAGAAGTAACTGGGGAAAGACCCTGGGAGGGGATGGGTGGGGGAATGAGAGCCTTGGGAGGGGTGAGAAGAGGTTCAGGGATGGGGCGGGAGTGGCACCCGGCTTTGGGGATCCCACGGCCACAGGTGCGGTGGCCACGGGGAAAGGGGTGGTTGGAGAAGCAGGAGTGAGAGCAGTCGCGGGCAGCATGCTGGCAAGCAGGGATTGAACGGCCGCGCACATGGTGCAGCCCTGCTCCAGCATCTCCCGCCAGGCATCTTGCCGCAGCTGAATGTCTTTCTGCAGCCCAGGGTCTGCTCCAGGGATCGGAGTGCCGTGAGGGGCTCCCTCTGGAACTCGTCCCTGGGTCTCCGGTGCCTGCGGGTCCCTCGGGTGTCGTCGATGGCCCCTTCTCGCAGCTGGTCCGGCTGTGGAGAGCAGAGGGACGGTCACTCATCCCAGGGGACACTGCCCGAAGCCTCACCCTCATCTGTGAGCTGAGCGTGACAGTTCTCAGCTCAGAGGAAGGTGCTGTGCTTGGAGCAAGGCCATGTGTGCTCTGGCCAGTGGCCCTTTCCTGCAAGGGCTCCGATGTCCCTGGGGGGAGCCACACTACCCCCATATCCTGGGACAAGCAGGTCTGGGAAGGTGCCGGCCAGATCGGGCTCCGCAGGTGGGTGGGAGGCCATGGGGTGGCTGGGCTGCCCTCCCCACCACGCACACGCCAGGTCCGGCAGTGGTGGCGTCCCACAGGGAGAGAACGTGGGGGCTAGGGAGCAGGGGGAGGAGTGTGTGAGCGGCAGACTCTCCTGTGCTGCACTGTCCCCGGGAGTGGGTGCTGCCCCGAGAGTGCGGGCATGCCCATGTGCCGTGTGCAGCACTGCTGAGGGGTGTGCCTGCGTGTCTCCAAGGCCCCGGCCTCCTAGCGGGGCCAGTAGAGGGAGGGTGCCCCACCTCGTGTCCCGCCCCATGTCAGGAGCATGGCCGGCCTCTCCAGACACCCCGTGACCAATAGCACAAGGGACCTCTGGTGCAGCCTGCTGGGGCCGTGTGCACAGGCTGCTGCGTGATCCCCAGGCCACAAAGGCCGAGTGAGGGGCATGCAGCTGCCCCTTGCTGCCTGCCCCCTCCACTGTGTGTGTAGGGAGCATGCTGGTGTAAGCCACACTCCTAGTCTGTGTCTATACTGGTGTGATCTTGCGCAAAAACTTGCTGCCTGTCGACACTGGCCACGTGTTCTTGCACAAGTAAACTGACACTCTACTGTATGAAATCAGGGCTTCTTGCACCAGAACTCTGACGCTCCCGCTCAGGATTAAGCCCTTTTGTGCAAGAGCTCTTCCAGAAGAGGCCAGTGTAGACAGGCACCAGGAATTTCTTGCGCAAGAAAGGCCGATGGTTAAAACGGCCATCGGAGTTTATTGCGCAAGAGAGCGTCCACACTGGCATGGATGCTCTTGCGCAAAAGCACATGCCAGTGCAGACGCTTGAAATCACGCCAGTGTAGACGTAGCCCCTAGTGTGGTTCACTGACCCGTGCAGTGGCACCTCGACCACAGCGACGGACAAGAACAAGGCACCTGTACCTGCAGCTGGGCTGGGAGCCAGCTGGCTTTTAGCTCAACAGGGGAGAGGCTCCTATGCTAAGCACCACAGGTCCCAGGCTCACATGTGCCCAGTGGCAGTTACAATGGCACTCACCGAACGTGCCTGCCTCGGACAATGCCTGGGACATGTCCAGAGTGTGGGGTACTGGCTCCAGGGGCAGGAGAGCGACAGAGCTCGATTTGTCCGGCTCCTCCTCTTTTTCCTCCTCCTCCACATCTCTGTCCCCTGGGAGGATGATGCTGGGTGTCTCGAGCCCTGAGTCACTATCGGGGGGGGGGGGGGAGGAAGGGACTGCCCTACCCCCCAAGATGCAGTTCAGGTCCTCAGCGTAGGGGCACGTGTGGGGTTCTGCTCTGGAGCAGGCGCTGCACTCGCGGGCCCTGGCATATGCCTGGCAGATCTTTAACTTGCATCCAGACCTGCTCCTGGGTGTGGATGTGCCCCTTGGTGGCCAGGCTGTCGGCCACATGGCCATGGACATCAGCGTTCCTGTGCCTGGTGCAGAGACCCTGGAAGTTCTCAATAAGGTCCAGGCTCTCCATGCCAGGCCAGGGGGGCAGGTGTCTCTTTTGGCCCCAGGCAGGCTCCTGGGAGCAGTGTAGGGCTGGGTGAGAGCCACGGAGGCACCTTGTGCCTGAACCCATTGTGGCAGCTCCTAGGCAGCTCAGGGCTGTCAGGGCTTCCTGTCTGCCACAAGCCCTTTCCCCTGAGGCTGCAGCTTTAGGGGCTCCAGGGGAAGGGGACTCCAGAGTTTGGCTCAGTGTGGCCAGAGCGGCCAGCAGGGCACCTTGAGCGGGGCTGGACGCCCCTTGTTTCGGAATAACTGCAGCCGCCCTGCCTACACGGGTGCTATTCCGAAACCGCCATTTTGGAAGAGGCGCTATTCCTCGTGGAACGAGGTTACAAACACCGAAATAAGCCGCCCCCTATTCCGAAATAACGTTGCTGTGTAGACGCACTGTGTATATTTTTGCTGGTCTCTACAGTGCCACAGGACCAGCCGTGGGTTTTACGTTCCACCCATGTAAGAGCAGTTACACCCAAAGCCACCAGATGGCAACATTTGGGCACTGAATCCAAAGGACAGGCCGGCCGTCCTGCCGTTCCGCCCCGTCATGGCTGTCTGCTAACGACACCAATACTTCATTGTCGGCTTCCACTCCCATAGGCCAGGAAGCTCTTCCTTCCCTAAAGCACGTTTTCACCCATGCTGCACTTTCTGAACTACTCACCCACGAGTCACTTCTCCGTTCTTGACAAGCTGCCCTCTGGCGCAGCCCTGCAACGCGCTCCCTTTAGGACAGGGAGTGATGAGCCCTTCTCTGGCTGGGCAGCGCCCATCACAATGGGAGCCTGTGCCTGTGCCGAGGCTGCCAGTGCTAATGAGGGTGGGCTATGGCCGCAGGTCCTTCCTTGCTTATGGGGGTGTTCAGGACGCCGGCGAAAGAAACCAGCGATGCGTTAGACCAGGGCTACGCAACACGCGGCCCATGGGGCTCATGCGGCCCGTTTGCGGCCCTCGGGGTGCTTGGGGTTGATGCGGGGCTCAACACGCAGCCCGCGGGTGGGATCCCCTGGGAACACGCTGCACAGCGGCGAGGCCTCTCCCAGGCGGGGTGAGCACTGAGACGCAAGCGGCCGGGCCGGCTGGGACAGACGGGGACGGGTGCAGGGTGGCGGCGTTTCTAGCCCCCAGGGAGGAGGTGCCGGGAGCGCAGGGGCAATGTCTGAAAGAAGCTATTTGCATATATTTGCTTCTATAAGCAACCTCACTTAAGTGGCAGCCCTCGGCATGTGCTGTGAGTATCACTGTGGCCCCGGGGCTTCCAAAGTTGAGTAGCCCTGGTGTAGGCGATGGGGGCCACAGCCGGCTACAGGCTACCTGTGGATAACAGCAAAGGCTGAGCGCACAAGGCTAGGGAAGAATTTCACCATTTTGTACTTACTGAGCGACGGTTTCTGACAAAGTGGCCCAGCGGGGTGAGACCAGCTATTGGCTCCCACCTGGGGTCCATCGGCTCCATTTGTCTGTCAGTGCAGTGAGAGCAAATGGCATTGTCCTGTCAGCCGGCTACAGGCTACCTGTGGATAACAGCAAAGGCTGAGCGCACAAGGCTAGGGAAGAATTTCACCATTTTGTACTTACTGAGCGACGGTTTCTGACAAAGTGGCCCAGCGGGGTGAGACCAGCTATTGGCTCCCACCTGGGGTCCATCGGCTCCATTTGTCTGTCAGTGCAGTGAGAGCAAATGGCATTGTCCTGTCAGCTCAGCCAGCTCCCCGCCCCACACCCTGCCAGCTCCACCCTTTCCTGACCCCCGGCCGGGCAGGGCTGCCCTTTGCCTTCTCGGCTATTGCTTCAAGGGGCTGGCCAGGGGGCACAAAGGAGCGATCCCCCTGCCGAGAGGAGAGGCAAGGTGAAGCCTTTCGGGCTCTCTGAGAACAGGCTTCTCCCCCAGTGCAGGCAGACACAGCCTAGCCTGCCAGTGGCCGGGTTACTCCGCACGCAGCGTGGCTACAGCACGCACAGAGGCTGGAGCGCACAGGCTTGGCTCCCCTATGTGAATATCCGAGCAGGCAGGACTCGTGTTGCCCCCTCTCGTAAGAGCTGCAGGGTTTTTCTTAAAGCTCCAGCTCCCGCAGTCCTGTGACCAAGAGACATTCTCACTCTCGTGGGCAGGAGGCCCTCGCGCTGGCAAACATGCCTGAACACATGAGACAAAGTGACCCAGACACCATGCAGCAAAGAGAACGAACTCAACTTTGTTATTTGTTAAAACCCTTGGTCTGGGGTTGAACACCCACGGCCAGTGACAGCTCAGAGAAGGGGCGTGCTCTCCCTCTGCCCTGCAGGAGGGAAGGGCGGGTGAGGTCTTGGCTGCTGCACGGGGCGCGAGGAGCTACTCCGAGGTTTTCAGCCCCTCTGCGATGAGGTTGAGCTCGTAGCACCAGGTCTCGTAGCGGTAGGCCATGCGGATCTGAGCTACGTTTGTCTTCCAGATGTTGTTGCCGTGGGGCCCCTCCTCACGGTAATGCTCCCCTAGGAACTTGGTCTTCTCCTGCCACAGACAAGGGTACAGACTGAAAGGCACCTGGCTTGATGCCCTGGCCCCCCGACACCCGCCCGGCTGCCCAGGCCGTGCACAGCTTAGTGCTGCCTCTGCAGACTCCCAGAGAAGCTGCTTCTACGTCTCCACTTCCCTGTGGTGCCGGGTCTAAGTGACCCGACAAAGCCAGCCCCCGGCTTCCCGCCCCCCTGGGGCACACATGGACACAGCGGGCAGAGACACCCGCCCTGCCGGGCCACCGGTGCATTGCTGAGCCGCTGGCCCCTCCCAGGGCAAGGGGCAGACAGACGGACGTACCTCATGGGACAGGCCGCACTGCAGGACGCTGTTCCGGGCAATTTCACACATGTCACAGGTGCTGAGTTTGAAGACTTGGGCGGCGATGGCGTATTCCTCCATCAGGGGCTCCTGCAGCAACACAAGAGCCGTGTGGGGGGAGAGCAGCCTGGCGCAGCCGCCTCGGCCCCCGTGCGGGAGTGGTGCCAATGGCTCCCGGGAATGCCCTGCCCTACCTTGGTGTAGTGGAACTGCATGGGGTCGTCGGTGGAGAGCGAGACCATCAGGCCTTTCTGGTGGAAGTCCAGCAGCGGGTTCTTGGCGTACTCCAGGAAGAGGCTGTTGTTGCTGAGCGGGGACATGGCGATGGGGATTTGCGCCAGGAAGTACAAGTACTGCAGCACCGGGCTCTGCAAGGCAGAAGGTGGCAGATTTGGGGGGGGGGGGGGGGGGGGGAGGGAGCG